TTTGATTTTTTCTATTAAAGTTCATTAACCTTTTAACAACCAATACCTGAATACCAAATTTGAGTGAAATCAGTCAATATCTAAATTAAGGCTGATCAGAGGCCCAGGAATAGCAGCCATTTTGTCAGAAAAACAAACCGCAGTAGTGTTTACAGCACCATTATACGCCTACATACCAAATTAAAGCAAATCTAAATTTCGACCAATTATACGCCCAGAACTGGCAGTCATTTTGTCAAATCAGCACTAATATACACCTACATGCATTGCAATATGAGCGAAGTCAGTCAATATGTAAATTTTGACCAATCAGAGGCCAGGTAGCCATAGTGGATGACCTTTCGAAAAAAATCGATTAGAGATATGTGAAGAAGACTTTTGGCTTTTATGCTTACAATAATGCACTATAAAATTGTACAGTTCAAGGTTGTACAATACGGCAGGCCAGATGCTTGAGGTTAGTGAATTTTCCCGAGTGGGCTAGCTTCATGACTGTGACTGGCCGGTGAAGTGAAATTATTCAACTATGAACCTGCATTAAAAGCTTAGCTTGTTTCAGTACACGGTACTGCTAGCCCCTGACAGGATAAATGGCCGAACAAATGAGATTTAATAGCAATCTTTGGCTCACCAGCAAATTCCCTCTCGTACAATTTCCTGAATACAGTAACATTCTGATCTAGGTGCACCAAACGCTCAGTTTTCTCACAAAAGATGAAGAATTCAAACACAAGTTACTTAACAGAGATTAGCAGTTTTCCAACATACATGTATACACAGTCATTATACATGTGTTAACCAACTTGTAGACCTACTTTCAACTGAAATATTTCATTGATTCAGATTTAGACAACTTCTCAGAATTTATAAGGTGACAGTTAATGATCTATCACTGGGATTGGTGTTTTTTTTATGGAGCTGAAATTAAGCACTTGCAGCTGTAGAAAGTGAAACATGATCGTGAATGTACAAGTTTCTCAGACAAAGTTATTTGTAAATAAAAGACAAATCCTCCAGGCATGATCAGATAATTGAATAAACAGCTGTTTGTAATTGGTAAGCTTCATAGTACATGTATCAACATACTAGAAAGAATATATATATACTGAGTTAAAGAAACATACATGTACTTTTACTACTAAAGCAAGCATTCCCCGTCAGCTTCACAGCTTTGTGTCAACTGGCATTGACCTATTGTCAAAGCATGGCATGGAAATGATGAGAACTATTCAACTTGTCATTTCTGTACACTTAATGATATTGATTTAAAGTAGCCATTTTGTGACAAAACGCTTCTATAAATTTCGCCAATTTATAATCCAATTTTGCTAAAAGAGATTTTAAGCACCTGCAATGATTTGCTATTGATAAAAAAACGAAAGTTTGACCCCTGTAACAGTCGCCTTTATGGAAGTCCCAAAAATGAACCCGGCAGATGTAAATGATGCTTACTGAAGTCTCTATGCTACACCTCCATACCAAATTTGATCGAAATCAGTCAATATCTTAAATTTGACCAATGAAAAATGATTTGCAACTTCTATTATATTTTCATAACTTTGAAATACTGACCAATTAGGGCATAGTACAAGGACGCCATTTTTTAATCCACGTTTAGAGATAATCATGTACACATATCTATAACCAGGTTTCATTAAAATCCGTTAGAACAGAAGTTATTGCCTTATATGTCTCGGCAAATCAGAGGATATGGTGGCCATCTTGGAAGTGCAACCTTGTAAAGAAAGGGGTCTACACATGCCCAACAATACTCATGTAAAGTTTCATTGGAAACACTGAACAGCTGTGGATAAAAACATGGCAGAATAATAATAATAAGAAAAATCGAAAAAAGAAACGGAACAATAACAATAAGTCACCCTGACTTTGCTGGGGGCGACTTAATAATAACAAGTTATAATTATTGTAACGGCAGCCATTACTGTTCATAATGATGAAATACACTTCATACCAAATATTATCAAAATTGGTCAATAAATTAGAGGCCGCAGTGGCCATGTTGGATGTGCAGTCGTCAAACCAAAGGTGTCTTGCACATCTATGCATGTCCACCAATACTCATAAAAAAATTCAATAGAGTCAGTCGTTGTTGTTTCCCAGAAATAGTGGGTCACCTACGACCAATCAGAGGCCACAGAGGCCAACTTGGAAGCACAGCTCCTACAAAAACAGTTTCTTGCACATTTAGGCCTGGCACGTGTCCTTATACTCTTGGGAATTTTCATTGAAATCTGACTTGTAGTTATTGAACTGACTAATAGGAAAATGAGGCATTGCATATTAATCACCATAAGAAATATGAGTTTTCTTGGAATATGTCCAGCAGAACAAAAAATATTGAATGTTAAAGAAATTTTGGACAAATTTTGGAAAAACAGAACACATGATGTTGTTAAAATACCTCCATGTGTGCAATAGAATTTAAAATATGCAGACATATTTCCCCTGTTGGGCCCCACCCTTTGCCCCCAGGGGGCATCTAACATTGAAGGAGAAAGATTCAAAAACCTTGATTTCCCCATTGGGCCCTACCCCTATTCCCCAAGAGGGACACCCCCTCCATTTAAACAAAAGTTAGTCCCCCTTGCCTACAGATGATCTCAAACTAATTTGGTGCTACATGTATAGGTAAATATTCTACTGTAAAACATACAGATCTGTTTATGTCTGGTCTGAAATTATCAATTAACACATCAAACAGCATTTATAAACTATCTCAAAACTTAATTCTATAATTTCCAAAAATTCTTTCGACCAACTTAGAAGGACACTAGTCATGGACGATATTGCAGTAACATTTTATAGCTAAAAGTCAACTCACCATTAGCACATCAATATAAAGTTATTTACATAGAAAGAAATGGGAATTCTTAACTCTCTCTTCATCTCTCATTGTGATGATGCACAAAAGTGTTAACATCCTTGTTTATGCTTAATTTAACTTCATTCTTTCCAATTGCATTCTTCCTCAAAAATCAAATAAAGTGTTCTGATTGCGACAAATTCATGACCAAAACCATAGCAGGAGATACTTTAGAAAGGTGACTTGGCATGTTCATACTTTGTTGTAAAAAGAATAATGTTTTTCAAAATGTACAATTTTGTAACTTGTAATAGGATAACCTGAATACATATTATGTTACAGCACCAACTGAAAACATTTCCTTCAGAAATAGCTATGATGCTGTAAAACAATTAACATTAAAATATCTCGTGTAATAGCACCGTTATCAATTCAGATGAAATACTTATATAAGCTTCTCACAAAATGCCTAAAAATGCAGGCAACTTCTTACAGAACTCAAATGATCATATTCATCATTGTGCAACATATTTATTTCAATATTTAACTATATAACAAGAGGCCCCCCAAAATGGTCACCTGAGAATATTCTTAATGCTGCAATTGACCTTTGGGGTAGGTTTTAAGTATGTTTGACAGAACAGTGGGATATTACATGGAACAAAGTATTTGAACAAAGCTCTGTATTGAATTTATAGAAAATGGTAAGGTTTCATAGTGTGGAGTCACCTGTGAAAATGGAGAGTATTCGGAAAGTTTAAACTGCCTGTTAGTTTGGTTTTTCAGGTTGACATTACGGACTGCAGATATGCAAAAAAGTTAAGAATCCTTAGCCAAAACATGATAAAGAACTTCTGTAGGAAGATTGGAGCTGCATTAGTTCCTAAAAAGGAGTGGAGAATGACAGTAGCAATTATCCTTGATGTGGAGGTGAACATTTCTCCACAAATCGTTAGCCAGACGGCCATTCTGGTTTTGATCATGAATTGGCCTAAACAGTAAGAACACTTTCCTCATAAAGAACAAATGTAGAAAACTTGTATTCAATAACTAGAGCAGTTCCTGACAAGAAATTGAAATCTTTCGGTCAATCAGAGCCCAGGGTGGTCATTAAGAAATTTAGTTAAGAAAACTTGTAAAGAACATTTGTTTAGAATAATAGCCGCAGCAGTTATTGAGAAGAAATTGAAAATTTCTCAGCCAATCAGAGCTCGAGGCAGCCATTTTTTATTTAGGATTGGCCCAAAATATAAACACTTTGTTGGAATCTCATAAAGAACATTTGTACGATAGTTGGAGTCAATGGCTGCTGCAGTTCCTGACAAAATGTAAAAAATGTCTGGGCTAATCAGAGCTTATGGCTGCCATTTTAAATTCTGGACTAGGGATGAAAAATATGAACACTTTGTTTGGACATCATAAGGAACATTTGTAGCAATTTTTGAGTCAACAGCTGCAGAAGTTCTTAAGGAAAGTTGAAAATGTCTTGGAGCCTGTGGTGGCCATATTAGAATTCTGATCGAGCCAAAAATATGAACACTTCATCAGGACCACCAAAAGCTTGAAATGGATTTTCAAAATGGCAGCTGTGGTGGCCATATTGAATTTCTGAATGACAGATAAAGAACAACATTTTGTCATTTAGGGCGATTTCCGTAACATTCGCATTAAGTATCAATGAAATCCTTTCAACAGTATTTCTTTTTAAATTAAAAATGTAAAATTTTAACGCACAACGGACAAAGACTGATCACAATATGTGGTAATGTAAATTTACAGCACTTGACCTCCTGAGACCCAAAAACTTATACAATTATGTGGTTTAAGATATGTTAGGTTGAAGTAACATTCGTTACATCCATATTAACACATGCCACTTAACAAGGTGTTAAACTGATATCACAACAAGTAAATCACACAACACTATACGTAGTATGCAATGGTAAAAAGTAGGTCAGTAGGTCATTATAAAGGTTTTAGGACATGTAAGGTAATAGTAATTTTGACACCACTTTCACACTATATACTTAAACAAAAATTGGCATCATGACGGTGAACAGTGATAATTTTATATTTTATACCCAATGAAATCCTACTCCAATAACTAGAGAAGATTGACCCAGTATATAGCACACAGCTTTATGAATGTTAAACAGGCCATCACATGGTAGATTTATATATATTAACTGGTATATACATGTACTACTATACACCATCCACACAACAGCCATTGTGCTTCCATAAAGGCATTTATACAACCTTATATAATATAGTTCCTGAAAAATATTTACAAAAATAGTATTTGGTCCTATTGTGGATGCAGAGACAAAAATACAGTTCATTCATATGATAATCAACATGTAGTTCACACAACTAGACAAATCAGTATCAATCACTTTTTTGTACATTTATTGTACATGTACAGTAAAACCTCCATATAATGCCCCTCATTTCATATGCCACATCACATACCCCCAACATATTATGATGTCCCTTTTTCTCGTTCAACTAAGAATTCCTGTATACAATTCCCTCAATTAATTGCCAAACCCCTTTATAACGCCATAAATCTCTGGATAAATGGTGGCAGTATAACGAGGTTTTACTGTACTGAAACTGGACAAAAATAGGACAGAGTTTTATACTCTCTCTCTCTGCTGTGTGGCTGTTACAGCCACAACAGGTTACTAATGTGTCATGTACATAGCCCTGCATGTCATGTATATATAAACAATGAGTGGTGAGAACTACCAGATATTGCACCCCAAGATAGAGAGAAATTGATTAAATAATAAAAATACATTGGCGACACTCATATTTGAATATATTTTGTTGGACCATTTTGGAGTTTTGTTTTTCCTTCCAGGAAGACCGCTTTAAAATACAAATGTTTGAAGTGTTTTTGTACTTTGCCATTCATACTTGAGAAAAACAAAAGTGATGACATGCAGACTTATGTTAAAATCATATCTAATACAAAATTAACGTTAAATCATTTCAGAAAACCATGGCAATGCTGATTTTATTTTTAACTATCTCATAATTCCAAAATGATCCATCAATCAAATATTTTATCGAACAATATTGAGAACTATTTCCTACAATTGTGTTAAATCTAGGTATATTATATAGATACAATGATTTGATTAGCTCCAATCATGATGAAATACCTCTCTGGTCTCTCCCATGTCCAGCATTGTCCGACCAATTCACTATCTACAAAACATTACACTTAAGGATTTTTGTAGTATTTTCATGGTTTTTTTTTAGCTTTTTGAGATATTTTAAATGTGTTTTACCAACTGATGAAGAAATGCTGACTCATACACCATATACTGTATAACATGAAATGTTCATTGTGTATACACTTCTGTTGTTTTCGTGGTTGCTATGGAACCATGAATATAAATACAACGAATATTTCTACAACTCGAAAGAATATACACAAGGAAAATGTGAAAATCATTTCATTCAAAAATGTGCACACAAAGGTAGTACATGTATATATTTTATGCGTATAAAAAATGTATGCATTTTCGTGGCAAATTTACAATTCAGGATTCCATCAGACCCTATTCCTATTCTAGTCTATATATAGATTTCACATTCCGTGTGATATTGACACAGAGATTCACAAACAAATATTTTAGACAGAACCTAATTGAACAATTCATTTAAACTAAAGGTATGTTTTTTTCCTGAAATGGACATGTGTTATCAATCGGTTTTAAATATCAGTAAGTAATGATTAATTAAGAATATAACCAATCAAGTGAAATAGTAGGCATACGGGGCGTTGCGAGAACAGGTTAGCAACAAAGTGTTTTCTTAGCATGATGACAACACTCTCAACCACAGTTATATTTACTTTACCTGTGTGATGATTATTTTCATTGTTTGACTTGTACAGATAATTATGATTAGTGACTCTTTGTCATTTTAAAACATACCGCAAATGTGTTCCGGTATTGGACAAATGATTCTCGGAATAGTGGACCTGGCTAACAGCGAAAATTAATACTGTACGGGCTAACAAAGAAAGTTTGTACCCACGAAATGATCTGAGAGCTCTAAACCACGAAAGAAAGCACACCTGAACATTTCATGTTATACAGTAGGAGAGACGGTCATGTCCCTCTATGTATTCAATACCAGTGTTAATACCCCTATTGTTATACAGTAGGAGAGACGGTTATGTCCCTCTATGTGTTCAATACCAGTGATAATACCCATATTGTTATACAGTAGGAGAGACGGTCATGTCCCTCTATGTATTCAATACCAGTGTTAATACCCCTATTGTTATACAGGAGGAGAGACGGTTATGTCCCTATATGTATTCAATACCAGTGATATTACCCCTATTGTTATACAGTAGGAGAGACGGTTATGTCCCTCTATGTATTCAATACCAGTGATAATACCCCTATTGATGTTCAAGAACAAGCTAGCCACTGAAAGATTCTGTAAAATCATTGATTGTATGGAAATGCTTCTTTATATAAACTGTGTTTTTTATTCAAACAAATAAAAAGGAAAAGAAAAAGGATGTAAATTATCAATTAAGAGTTTAATATCGTAAATGGGGTATTATTAAGAAGGCTACTTTTTGCAAATTTCTCAAAAAAAGCTGCAATTTCTTGTTTTACTGGTCAATTTTTTGGGACTATGTACAAAAATAGACTTATTACATTTGTAGGTTTTTGAGCAATTGCACTTCCGAGATCGTGTAGACTGCGAGGAAGGTAACTTCTATCTCGGATAATTGACATGAATTTAAACAGTTCTTTTGAATGGATATGTGAATTTCACACATATCACCTAAAATGCAAGTAGTCTACAGTAGGCAGACAGGAATGAGGCAGTACTCAAGTGATATGCTTTTTCATAGCATTTTTTCAAACCCTGTTTAATTATAAAACATGCTGTAAGCAATATGTAGCTATAATGCTGACCCTCACCAAAAAACAACTCAATCAGATCACCGAAAATCAAATACACCAACACCTATGGTAACGGAAGGAAGGGCAATGTTAAATGGCTTAAATATTGTTGGTAGATACCTTGATAAGGAGACAGATAAACGTCATAATTTCTAAACACAAAAAATATAAAAGACCAATGTATCCTAAAACCAGTTTACAAAATGTGAAGTGAATGATCTGAGCAGCACATACTTATTTGCAGTACAGTATTAAGTATATAATACTACACTGTATTAAGCTGTATTGAAAGTGAGATATCTTCTTTCAGGTTAATACAAAATTGCTTTAATCCTCAGATTTTTCATCTAACATTTGGAGTGTTCCACATCATACGTGATTTTTCAGAAACTGAGACTAAAATAAGAAGACTACAGTCAGCCAACTGGTAAAACTGTGAAATTGCAACTACCTACATGTATGTACAGATTAATATAATTTTATATTAATTAAAACAGTTTTGAAAAGGCATCTTCATTCTCAAGATGTTATTCCACTGACTAGACTTTAACAAAACACAAGTGATGCCAGTCATTATATAGAAATACTACTACTGAAGGACTGTCAACTTTAAAACAAAAACAGAATTCCATCTGTTCCTTATCATCTTTTCCACTTCAAAGAAGGCATTCAGTTTTGTTCTTAAGTGATTATTGGGGTACTTATCATGTTGAATAACCAGTTTTCAGTTCCATCTGCCTCAATGTCCCAATGTGCTGAAAAAATTGATGAATTCATACTCCATTGTATAGAGCCATACTTAGTCTTTATAAACAATACTATCAATGTCTAAAACATGATTCTATGTTTGAAGAAAAATATATCAAATGAAAAAGTATGCAAGTCTACATACAAGTAAAGTCCTAAGCACCAAGTAATCAGCAGACAATGACCCTAGTGTTTGGACATGTCTGTACCAAGCTGTCATGCTGTGTATCAGAACTGACAATTGTCCCTATGTATCTCAGCTATCTCTGTAAACCTTACATTGTTGAAAGGTTTGCTCGACGGACTAGATTTCAGTTTTCACGTCTTGGCTTCTTCTTTTTACTTTTAGTTTTTGCTTCAGTCCAAGAATCTGAAATGAAGAAAAAAAGATTCAAAAACAAATCTTACATGAAAATTCATACAAGTTTGGTATAAATACATATCAGTGTATTACAATCAAAATATTTCCCAGAAACATTCTTGACCTTGCCTTTTGCATCTGTCTGAAACATTCCTTCCCTTTGTATAAAATTTGAATTGTAACAGAGGAGATAAATAAGATCCATTGAACTGTGACAGGAACATGAATCGCATTACAATGAGGCTACAGTCGTATATGTCCTGTACCTGTAGTTAGTCCCATTTCATCAAAAGCCACCACTTGTGGCACTTCAGATGAGGCCTTGGCCCCTTCTACAGGTGAACCAATGCTAGTCACAGGTGTTTCTGTAATGAAAAAAAAATCAATAGCTTTATAATGGCAAAGTCAAAGCTGCAGGGCTAGACCTTAAGCATTGCCCTACTGCCCGGGGCAGCTAACACTCCATGTTAGGCAACCTTACTTTCTCGATCACTTACCTAAATGGTAGAGTGAAAAATATCAAGTAATGTTCATCACAAATTATTTTGAATCAATACAATATTTCATATCATTATTAAAGATATCAAAGAATGTTCAATCATACTGATTGAAATTTTGATTATCCTTCCCATCTCTGCTTTGCTGTTATCATCATGACAAGAGACTGTTTGCTGAGGTTACTACAAAAGCAGTATTATTTATCAAGTAGTACAGTCCATTGTCGTGATCAATTCAGCATTTGCCTGACTAGCAGGTAGGTAGAGATTTAAGCGTCCCTGAAACACAGATTTATGATAATAACAAGGCAAAGTAGTGCAAGACAATCCACAGTCCCCTACTGGTAATGATTTCTACATTTAACAAACAGTACATTTATGTCAGGATGTAACTACCGTTCAAAGCATAGTTCAGTGAGGTCATAGTGACCTACTTCTTGCACTCGCCATCCTAAGAAGTCCTTAGTATAGAAAGAAGAGGCGCAGAGGGCCTGTATCGCTCACCTGAATATGTTTTAAATAATTGGTATGAAGTAAAGATATAGCACTCCATGGTAGGTGCTGTAAGTACATAGGAAATTTCAGAAAGATCCATCCAGTACTCGAGATATAGCTGGACAAACTTCAAACAGAGCCCCACCCCATGCCCCTAGGGGGGTCATACCCACCAATTATACAAAATTGAGACCCCTTGGTCCAAGGATGCTCCAGACTAAATATGGAAAAAATCCCTTAATCTTGATGGTCGAAGAAGGATTTAAAAGGTTTTACCTCTATTTCTCCTATTGGCCCCCGCCCTTCTGCCCCCTGGGAGACCACACCCACTGCATTTACAAAATTGAGTCCCCTTGGCCCAAGGATGCTCCAGACTAAATTAGGATAAAATCCCTAAATCCCTATGGTAAAAGAAGGATTTTAAAGGTTTTACCTCTATTCCCCCTATTGGGCCCCGCCTCTCTGCCTCCAGGGGGGTTAGACACACTGTTTATACAAAATTGGTTCCCCTTCACCCAATGATGCTTCATACCAAATTTGTACAAAATCCTGTCATTCGTACAGAAAAAAAAAGTATTTGAAGAATTTGCTATGTTTCCCCTATTGGGCCCCTCCCTTCTGTCCCCAGGTAGGCCACACTCGCTGTTTATACGAAATTGAGTCCCTTTTGTCCAAGGATGCTCCAGACTAAATTAGGATAAAATCCCTCAATCCATATGGTAGAAGAAGGATTATAAAGGTTTTAATTCTATTTCCCCTACTGGGCCCCGCCCCTCAGGTCCCAGGGGGGCCACACCCACCGTTTATACAAAATTGGTTCCCCTTTACCCAAGGATGCTCCACACCAAATATGGAACAAATCCTTTCATTCCGACAGAAGAAGAAGGATTTTAAAGAATTTGCTATATTTCCCCTATTGGGCCCCGCCCCCAGCCCCCAGGGGGGCCACACCCACCATTTATACAAAATTGAGTCCCCTTGGCCCATGGATGCTCCAGACTAAATTAGGATAAAATCCTTTAATCCCTACGGTAGAAGAAGGATTTAGTCAAAATCTACTTGGCCGTTCAGGACTAGTAGCGTTTTAAAGGAAATGTTGACGGACAGACGACAGACGGACGGACGACGGACGGACGACAGACGCTGCGGTATGGCATAAGCTCACCATGGTCCTTCGGACCAGGTGAGCTAAAAATGCCTCGGACAAATGTTTTCAGAAGTAAAGTTCAAAGGTCAAGTCATAGGTCACAGTGAAAATATTCTTGCACTCAGCACTCCGCCATCCCAAGATGTCCTTGTACACCAAATCTGGTTACTCCAGGTGAAATAGTATAGAAGATATGCCTTGGACAAACTTTTTCAGTGACGAGACTTACCTGTGACAGATGGTTGGAGACTCGAGTTACTCAGTGACGAGACTTATCTGTGACAGATGGTTGGAGTCTCGAGTTACTCAGTAACGAGACTTACCTGTGACAGATGGTTGGAGACTAGAGTTACTCAGAGACGAGACTTACCTGTGACAGATAGTTGGAGACTAGAGTTACTCAGTGACGAGTCTTATCTGTGACAGATGGTTGGAGTCTCGAGTTACTCAGTGACGAGACTTACCTGTGACAGATGGGTGGAGACTAGAGTTACTCAGTGACGAGACATATCTGTGACAGATGGTTGGAGACTCGAGTGACTCAGTGACGAGACTTACCTGTGACAGATGGTTGGACACTAGAGTTACTCAGTGACGAGACTTATCTGTGACAGATGGTTGGAGTCTCTAGTTACTCAGTAACGAGACTTACCTGTGACAGATGGTTGGAGTCTTGAGTTACTCAGTGACGAGACTAATCTGTGACAGATGGTTGGAGACTATAGTTACTCAGTGAGAAGACTTATCTGTGACAGATGGTTGGAGACTAGAGTTACCCAGTGACGAGACTTATCTGTGACAGATGGTTGGAGGCTCGAGTTACTCAGTAACGAGACTTACCTGTGACAGATGGTTGGAGGCTCGAGTTACTCAGTAACGAGACTTACCTGTGCCAGATGGTTGGAGTCTCGAGTTACTCAGTAACGAGACTTCCCTGTGACAGATGGTTGGAGACTAGAGTTACTCAATGACGAGACTTATGTGTGGCAGATGGTTGAAGTCTCGAGTTACTCAGTGACGAGACTTACCTGTGACAGCTGGTTGGAGACTAGAGTTACTCAGTGACGAGTCTTATCTGTGACAGATGGTTGGAGACTCGAGTGACTCAGTGACGAGACTTACCTGTGACAGATGGGTGGAGACTAGAGTTACTCAGTGACGAGACTTACCTGTGACAGATGGTTGGAGTCTCGAGTTACTCAGTGACGAGACTAATCTGTGACAGATGGTTGGAGACTATAGTTACTCAGTGACGAGACTTACCTGTGACAGATGGTTGGGAAATTTGTGTTGGTGATTGGGATGTCTCTTTGACAATTGTCTCTGTGACTGTTGCCTTCTGCAAAGAAAACATTCATCTTGACATTTTGTGTGAAAATCTATTAGAAATCAAATGTCTAGACACATCTGAGTGACAGAATGTGGGTTACTTTGTAAAGTTGGATAATATTATCTTTTTCATCTTACTGTTATTCAATTATATGAACTATTCACATCATTGTAATTTATTTTTCACTTTACGTTCCATAGAAGGATACCATTTCAACAGTTTGCCTTGATCTTTAAAAATGTTTTTGAAAGACCTATTTCTACAATTTTAATCACCAACTCAAGTCGCATTGTCCTCTGATAGTTGACCAAATTATTACCTCAGAGTAACCAATCAAAGGGGGATCTGTATCAGCGTCTGTGCATACATTGTTAGTCAATTTGATTTATACTCATTCTAATGTTTGTAATAATAATAATAATTTGAGGTTCTTATATATACCGCTTTATCACAAGTCGCATTGTCCTCTGATAGTTGACCAAATTATTACCTCAGAGTAACCAATCAAAGGGGGATCTGTATCAGCGTCTGTGCATACATTGTTAGTCAATTTGATTTATACTCATTCTAATGTTTGTAATAATAATAATAATTTGAGGTTCTTATATATACCGCTTTATCACAAGTCGCATTGTCCTCTGATAGTTGACCAAATTATTACCTCAGAGTAACCAATCAAAGGGGGATCTGTATCAGCGTCTGTGCATACATTGTTAGTCAATTTGATTTATACTCATTCTAATGTTTGTAATAATAATAATAATTTGAGGTTCTTATATATACCGCTTTATCACAACCTAGTTCATAGGTCATCTCAAATCGGTTCACAAATAATTATCTGTGGTTATAGGGCCTTTGCAACCAACCAATATCTTTCTTAACTCCCTGGGGAGCATATAGCCGGAGCTGCCGTTTCGGCACTCACAGCTAGCATTCTACAATTCTAGCACTGCCCAACCAAGTACTCATTTACAGCTGAGTAAATGTACTCATTTATAGCCGAGTAGACTGAAACAAGAGGAGTAAAGTGTCTTGTTCAAAGATACAACACAGTGCCGTGACGTGACTCGAACCTGCAACCTTTCAGTCACGAGCCTGGCATTCTACCACTAGACTACCGTGCCTCATGGTGTGCAGCTTGTGTGGCGAGGCTATACAAATTTCATTAAAGATGAATCCGCCTTTTTACACAAATTGTAGTAACACAAACGAACCAGTCCTAACAAGTGTAATCTGTAGCTTTTCCATATCATTTGCATCTAAGATGGAACAGCCCATCAGTAATGATTTCTTTATTTACCAAAGTGTATACCAAGGTGAAATAGTATGGAAGATATGCCCAAAACAAACTGTTTCAAAAGGTTGACCTCAAAGGTCAAAGCATATGGGTAACAGTGACCTGTTTCTTGAGCTCTGCACTCTGTATTTGCACACCAAATCCATATGGTTACCCCAGGTGAAATTGTATAGAAGAAATGCCCAAGACAATTTTTATCAAAGGATAAGGTCAAAGCATAGGTCACAGTAACCTACATTTTGTACTTGACACTCCATCATCTTTATACTTGCTTGCTAATCTAGTTACACCAGGTGAAATAGTACACAATATATGCACCATGATCTAACTCTGTGACAAAATGCTTGAATAAACTGAACAGTTCATTTTATGAAAAATTATTCAAAAGTAGTAACATAAACCTTTCACCAGAAACTTGGTTCTTTAGAATTGTGTAATTTGCACGTAGAAGATTTAAAATAGAATCAAAAACTGTAAAGGTACTTATTAATCAAACGTGATACAGGTGGTTTAATTGTGTCTTTGCATTCAATTAGTTGTTGTTTAAGATACTGATGACATAATTGGAACGAAAATGTCAAAAGCCCTTTTTCGACTTTGAAAGAAATGTGTATCTCGTTAAGTGCTATGTTTTACCAGAAACACCATTTGACCATTTACATTACATCTTTACTTAATGCCAGAACAAAGGAATCACCTGATTTGGTTGAGAATGATATAGGTTCCTTTATACCTATAGATGAGGAATATGTAGAGGATAGTTGTGAGAAAGCGGCATTTCACTTGTTAAACTTAAAGGTAAAGGTAATAGTAATGGTTAGAACTGGCTGATTTCTGTAAGTCTTCTAGTTATAGGATCGCTAACTTTTGCAAATGACTGAGGGTGCAGTCTGGTTCATTATATAACTAGAGATTTGTTTTCAAAAACGAATATCTCCCCTTAACGGTTTTAAAGTTACTGCCCGGACAAGATATTCCTGAAACTTTTAAGTGGGGAAACATAAGTGCTGTGGAAATGCTAGCTCAACTAAAATGGGACAGTAAACATGTACAGGTCTGTAAATTTTCAATTTGAGCTTTAAAGCAAATTAAAAATCCTCAGTATATTAGTTGAATACCTGCCAAGACAACCTACCTCATTCTTTTTCTTGTTCTTGGGACTTTTAACAGGTTTACTGTCTCCACTGGAGGATTCTATAGCTGTGCTGTCTTTGCCTGTTTCAGCTGACTTGGGTTTGGCAGCTTCTGTTCCTGGTTTGGCATCTTTGGTTTTGGACTTCTCTGCATCGGGAGATGGGGATTTTGATTTGCTAGCCTCATTGGCTTTATTTTTGCCATCATCAGTTGTAGGTTTGTCAGGAGATGGGGATTTAGATTTAGCTTTCTTTGGAACAGGGGTGCTTGGCTTTGCTGCAGATTCTATTTGGTCCTTCACAGCCTCTACAGCAGCAGCTTTCCTGGCCTTTTTCTTCTTGTTGGGACTTCCAGATGGGGCTCCAGCACTCTGTCACACACAGCATATATCTGTTATATTTCCTACACATCTCAGAAGTGTACACCTAAATACTGTATACCCTATACATGCATAAAGAAAGGTTGACTTCTTGTCCTTTTGTCCATTAGGTGAAAAACAGAACAAAGCTTACCATCATAAAACTTCCACTAGCTGTGAAAGATGAAATAAATGCTCACCTGATAAGGAGATTACTGGTGAAGATCAAATATTTGAAAAAAACTCTGCAGTATACAAAAGTTCCCAGATATGTGAATAACAAATATTTTCTTTTTTTCCCCCCAACATACATGTACAAATACCAGTCTAAATTACCAGTGGTTACTACAAGTTTCTACAAGATATGTACTTTAAAACTATTAGAACCTTTCATTTGTGTATAATAATGAACAAGTTACAAATCTACCAATTGTTTGTGTTAAGAAACATACTGTACATGCTGTAAAACCCCTGTAATTTGCACACCTATGAAAATGTTAAAATGTGTGTGTACCTTTTTGTGCTGAAAATGCTGAAATCCCTAAATTTAAAACTGCAGTGTTTCTGTTAACTATTTTATCTTGTGAAGATGATATAAATATGCTGCCAAAATGTATATTTGGCATCTTTTATTAATTATTCATTAAGAATATATAGTTATATGTTCATCTGTCTTCAAACGGATCTGCAATTTGCACACCGCAACACAAACAAGAGGCCCAAGGGCCTTAGCGGTCACCTGAGTTATATCATAGATACTGGTAGCTTTATTTTATTGTTTAGATGTGATGTAAAAATCAGCATGTAAACTAAGTGAAATACAATACTTGTCATGTCATCAATGGATAAGAATTTGAAAATATTGGTAAATGTTTCCTTTGGGGCCCCGCTCTAGCCCCTGGGGATGGGGCAGGAATCCTAATTTTACAAAGTAAAACTCTCATTTACCCAAGATGATTCTGACTAAGTTTGAGCAATTTTCTGCTGAAAATATATAAAATATATACCGAAAAGTGTTATTTCCCTATATAAACTATATTAAACGTTAACCCCTCCCCAAGGGAGAACGGATAGCTCGGGGTCCTGATATTTTCAATTTAAATAAAGCCCCTGATGATCTTTCTTTCCACGTAGAGAAAATCACTGTAGTACCTCTGAGTCTGGAGAAGAAGATTTTTGAAATATTGATTAATTTTCCCTTTGGGGCCCCGCCCTGGCCCCAGGGGTCGGGGTAGGAATCTCAATTTTACAATTTGAAACCATCTACCTCCAAGGATAATTCTCACCAAGTAAAAATAATTTCCTACAGAAAGTTGTCAAAATATACCCAAAAGTGTTATTTCCCTATATAAACTATAGTAAACTTTACCCCCTCCCCAAGGGAGAACGGATAGCTCGGGGGTCCTGAAATTTACAATTTAAGTAAAGCCCCTGATGATCTTTCTTTCCACGTAGAGAAAATCACTGTAGTACCTCTGAGTCTGGAGAAGAAGATTTTTGAAATATTGATTAATTTTCCCTTTGGGGCCCCGCCCTGGCCCCAGGGGTCGGGGTAGGAATCTCAATTTTACAATTTGAAACCATCTACCTCCAAGGATAATTCTCACCAAGTAAAAATAATTTCCTACAGAAAGTTGTCAAAATATACCCAAAAGTGTTATTTCCCTATATAAACTATAGTAAACTTTACCCCCTCCCCAAGGGAGAACGGATAGCTCGGGGGTCCTGAAATTTACAATTTAAGTAAAGCCCCTGATGATCTTTCTTTCCACGTAGAGAAAATCACTGTAGTACCTCTGAGTCTGGAGAAGAAGATTTTTGAAATATTGATTAATTTTCCCTTTGGGGCCCCGCCCTGGCCCCAGGGGTCGGGGTAGGAATCTCAATTTTACAATTTGAAACCATCTACCTCCAAGGATAATTCTCACCAAGTAAAAATAATTTCCTACAGAAAGTTGTCAAAATATACCCAAAAGTGTTATTTCCCTATATAAACTATAGTAAACTTTACCCCCTCCCCAAGGGAGAACGGATAGCTCGGGGGTCCTGAAATTTACAATTTAAGTAAAGCCCCTGATGATCTTTCTTTCCACGTAGAGAAAATCACTGTAGTACCTCTGAGTCTGGAGAAGAAGATTTTTGAAATATTGATTAATTTTCCCTTTGGGGCCCCGCCCTGGCCCCAGGGGTCGGGGTAGGAATCTCAATTTTACAATTTGAAACCATCTACCTCCAAGGATAATTCTCACCAAGTAAAAATAATTTCCTACAGAAAGTTGTCAAAATATACCCAAAAGTGTTATTTCCCTATATAAACTATAGTAAACTTTACCCCCTCCCCAAGGGAGAACGGATAGCTCGGGGGTCCTGAAATTTACAATTTAAGTAAAGCCCCTGATGATCTTTCTTTCCACGTAGAGAAAATCACTGTAGTACCTCTGAGTCTGGAGAAGAAGATTTTTGAAATATTGATTAATTTTCCCTTTGGGGCCCCGCCCTGGCCCCAGGGGTCGGGGTAGGAATCTCAATTTTACAATTTGAAACCATCTACCTCCAAGGATAATTCTCACCAAGTAAAAATAATTTCCTACAGAAAGTTGTCAAAATATACCCAAAAGTGTTATTTCCCTATATAAACTATAGTAAACTTTACCCCCTCCCCAAGGGAGAACGGATAGCTCGGGGGTCCTGAAATTTACAATTTAAGTAAAGCCCCTGATGATCTTTCTTTCCACGTAGAGAAAATCACTGTAGTACCTGTGAGTCTGGAGAAGAAGATTTTTGAAATATTGGATAATTTTCCCTTTGGGGCCCCGCCCTGGCCCCAGGGGTGGGGGTAGGAATCCCAATTTTACAATTTTGAAGCCTCATCTACCAAGGATGATTCTGACCAAGTTTGAAAAAAATCCATCCACTGGTTCTTGAGAAGAAGTTGAAAATGTAAAAGTTTACGCACGACGCACGACGGACGACGGACGACGACGGACGAAAAGCGATTGGAATAGGTCACTTGAGCAAAGCTCAGGTGACCTAAAAACTATTAATCAAATTGGGGCTATGTGTGAAGTGTTTCATATTTCATCAGTGTGGAATGAATTCAAAAACAATGTACGGTTTCCCAGAAGCTTTGTTTTTTGATAATAACATATTGCAAAATAAATCCTACAAATACTGAGTGACTTACCTCTCCTGTACTAGCTGTAGGCTCTAGGGTCTTGGTGACAGGCTCTGGGGCCTTGGTGACAGGCTCTGGGGCCTTGTGGACTACATCTGGAGCCTTGGTGACAGGCTCTGGGGCCTTGCTGACTACATCTGGAGCCTTAGTGACAGGTTTCGGGGCCTTGCTTACTACGTCTGGAGACTTGGTGACAGGTTCTGGGGCCTTGCTGACTACATCTGGAGCCTTGGTTACAGGCTCCGGGACCTTGCTGACTACGTCTGGAGCCTTGGTGACAGGTTCTGATGATTTGCTGATAGCTTTCACTTCCTCCTTTGGCTCAACTGCTTCCTGTGAAGATATATTCAATTGATTCCTTATGCTGAAGTGATCCTGATGTACAGTTATAAAGAGCAGATCAGCGATTGTGTCTACAGCTGCATCTGATGTCTTACGTTATTTTGTAGTGATTTTCCTTTTTCTTTTACATTTCAAATTATAATACCTTATGAGATTTTTTCTTGGTTTTGCCCTTTGCCCTCTGTTCTTGAGGAGCCTCCTCAACCTGTATCATTTTAACCTCTGACTCCTCTCCTGACCCAGAGTCAGTCTTATCCTCCTTCTTGTTTTTCATCTTCCTATCCTTGCGGGACACCTGTGTGGTCCATCCTGACAAAACAAACTCTCTCATGTAATATTCTAAATTCTAAGATTCACATTATAATCAATGTACACAATGACCAAACATTTTGTAACACAAAAATCAACATTTTTTGTCCAAATTGTGATAAACTGCACTTATTGGGCTCAGATATATACGTATGTGAATAGATGGGGAGGCTGTATATTGGTTTATCAAGGTTGTTGTAGGGTGTTATATACATGTGTTGGTATTATGTTTTCTTTTTTCTGTCCTTTATTATTACAGTAGTTCTTGCTATGTAAATCCCCCAAAATGAGAATGCTGAACATTTAAATAGCCAAAATGGAAAAGGAAGACAACTTACCATCTTCTTCTTTCTTCACCTTGGCAGTAGCTGGGACTGTAGCCATCTTCTTTGACTACATACAAAAATGCACATATCATAATAGATAATATAACATCTTCATGTTCGTTATTTAATAAAGTGAAACTATTTTATTTTGGAAAACTTTCCATATCAGTAATTTGGAGGAATAAACAAAATAAAGACTCAAGAAGGCTACAGAATAGCAGTGTGGTTATATTAGGCCAGTGGCGCAGTGGATAGCGCACCAGGACAGCTGGGGTTCTAAATCAGACATGAAAAGGTATCGGGGCACCAGTACCTGCTTGATCATGTGGGTTTTCTCAGAGTATTCCAATATCATCCCATATTAAGACCATATGCATGCTTCCTTCCAAGCCAACAACAGTGATTAATACAACAGGCCCAGAGGGCTCATCTGGATATCTAAGGAATCATGGCAAAATATTCTCCAAATGAGATTCAAGGGAATGGGGCAGACCCCAAGGCCTGTCCTTGTAGCATATATCTGTATTAGATTTTTCATGCCCATCAATTTTATGTATGGTTATGGGGTGGGGATCTCAACTGATTCCAATCTGTGATTCAGAAACTAAGTCCCTAGGGTTGTGGCCAGACCCCGGATCAATTAAAATATCATGACTGCATTCGCCTCTTTATGCCCAGCATTTGCATATATAGTTTTGGGGTGCACATGGGGATATCACCGTTTCAAAGTTAGGACCCAGGGGTTTAGTCTGCAAGGGTGGGGCAGACCCTGGGGCCATCCTGGAAGCCTATGTGCATTCATCTCTATATACTCACAAATGTTATGTATGGTTATAGGGTGGGGATCTCAACTGTTTCCAAGCTGTGACTTGGGGGGACAGCCCCACCATTAGTACAATTTTGAATCTCCACTACCTAGGGATGCTTCCAGTCATATATGGTTGATATCCATCTCTTAGTTCCAGAGAAGAAGTCGCTTAAAGCAATAAAGCCAAATTGCCCCCTTTTTGCCCCACCCCTCAGCCCCCTGGAGGGTCAGCCCCACTATTTGCACAATTTTGAATCATTGTTGACGCACAGACGACGGACGGACGACGGACGCCACAGTATGGCATAGTGAGCTAATTAGCTGGAAAAAGTTCCATAATAATGGTAAAATAACTCAATTTATATTTTTATTTATTTACTGAATGGCAGCAGAAATTAACTTGTGAGTATTAAGGCAGTTGAGTTTTTCCATCATAAAAAGTGATAATAGCTGTTCCTCTTAAATCAAATTCAGAGAAGAGGTATTGCTATTGGTTTAAACTTTGTTTTATTTTACACACTATATATATTCTATATAGTACACACAAATAGAAATAGGATCTTGCGACAAGATTTTAAATCTTATATTAAGCCATCTCTCTTGGAATATTGTCCAGAGCTAATGAGATTCCACTAGTATGGTTACAAAAATCTATATTTTGCCTTTTATCTTGATGACTTGCGTGGGTCACTGGGTGTACAATTCAATGTTCCCCCATCACACAGAATCCTGCATGAATCATGCATACCAAACCCCTTTGCACATGTATGCAAAATTGGTGATATACAAATAACTTCAGAGTACATGTATTAAGGAACCGTGTGCAACATCAGTGTAGTTTTGAGAAATTGAGAACACTCCTCTAATACAAAATTGAGAACCCTTTGGCAAGAAAGCTCCAGAACAAATTTGGTTCAAATCCCTAATCTTTGGTATTGAAGGAGGTTTTTCTTAATTTACCCTATTTGGCCCAATACATTTGCCCCCAGAGGGTCCATACCCTCATTTTATACAGACCAAATTTGGTCAAAATCCACTCAGCCATTTAGGACTAAAAGCCTTTTAAAGGAAAGAGTTGAAAGGCGACAAATGCTGTGCCACAGCAAAACCTAAAAACATAACAGTTTACAGTACAAGTATATTGACCTGTGCCAAATTGCTCACTCATCCCACAGAACTGGTGTAAAACTGACTTGATCAAAATGCTCTGTACAACTAAGAGTTAACTTATACGCCTGTTTATAAATAACCGCTACCTTTTTAGTTTGAACTTCTGCCTTTCTGCCAGTTTTGTTGCCAGGGGACAAGGACTTAGCTAGTTTGTCAGCATGTGTAGGCGAGGACTGGGATTTGGTTGGCACATTGGATTCTGTAGGCACAGTAGTGACATGGCCATTTGTCTGACTCTTCTGTTGCTGCAAAACATTAATAAAAAAAGGATACACTGTATTGAATTAGTAGACATCATAAGCTTAATGATCACAGGATTAAAATTTTACAAACAAGAGCTTACTTAGCAGTGCTTAGTTCCTCCAGGCTACACCTTGGTTATTCAGAAGAAGTTATTTAAAAAATTTAGACAATTTTTATCCTAGTGGCCTTGACAGTAGGTCAAGGTCATTTGTTCATACAAACTTGGTAGTCCTTCATCCCATTATGCTACTAGCCAGATACCATCACCCTTGGCCTTTTTGTTTTTCAGAAGAGGTTGTTTGAATATTTTAACATATTTGACCCAACTGACTTTTGAAAGTGCAGTGGGTCAAGGTCATTTATTTGAATAAACTCGGTAGCCCTTCATCCAAGCAGGCTGTGGCCAAATATCATCACATTGGGCTGGTGTTTTTTTTTAAAAGAAGTTTAATTGTTTCATTATCACCACTTTTGCATTATGTATAACTTAGAAACAAATTTTGAACAGATTCACACACACATCCTTGTGACCTTGAAAGAATGAGTGAGGTAGTTCATTTTAACAAACTTAAGGTATACGTAGCCCTTCATCCCTCCAGGCTACTAGTCCAATATCATAGCCATGTTGGTTCTTTTATCAGTCCCAAAATTGTAGAGCAAGTGTGGGAAAAAATCGACAGGAGGATATTATTGAGACCCTGTATGAAAAATACCCTGTAGAAGCCTTCAAAACAACCTGTCGGGTCATCACTGCCGTCACAATGTTTCTTTACAACCTGTCGGGTCATCACTGCCTTCACAATGTTTCTTTATCAATTTAAAAACTTCTCAGACTTCATCAATATTAAGAAAACTAAAAAAACGTTTCAGCTACCTCCTGATTTTACTTTTACAATCAGAGTCTGCAAGAGATTTCCACCATTTTATCGGTCCATATAAGAGCAATACTATTTTCAGCATTGATGTATGATGCATGCATAGCCCTTCAAACATATTTTTCTTGGAGTTATCCTCTTTATAATAAAACTGTCTGTATCCAACAGGATAGAGCAATGAATGTGTTTTAAGCCAGAATCAACAATTCAAACTCAGTTAAGTCACCAGCGATATTAATGGTTAGGTCAAATCGGGAAGTCATCATTATTTTGAAAATCAGTTGCATAGAGAGAAAGAGAGATGAGACAAAGACAACAAAGAGAAAATATGATACAAAATATTATCTGCTAAAACAACAAAACAACCAATATATTACATGGATTTTACTGAACTTTTGTGTGTTTTTTAACTATTAAAATTGTTTCATATTGAATCAAATAATGAAGTTTATTAAACAGGTAATTGACTTTATTTTATGCTTCCTGGAGCTATTAGAAAAATTGCAAGACATGAATTACCTGCGACAGTTTTATAAAATACCAACCAAATATCATCACTTCATATTTATTCAAACAATATTACAACACTTTCAGTTTTTATTTTTTAAAAACAAGACAAAATATTGGAAATCCTATTTTAGCTGGTATGTATTTATTAGGAATAATTCATATTTTAGAAGAAAAAAAAATCAAGAAAATGAAAATTTTCCACATCACTGAATTGAAAAAAAATCTCAATTGCAGCATATTATAAACTATCCATTCATTTATTCGTTGTGATTATGATTCTATGCCTTTTGAGTTTGGATTCTTTAGAAGCAGTTGTTTGAAGTTTGACCCCTGTGACATTATCATCTTTTGTTAGAAGCTTCAAGCCTAATATCACAATTCTTAAGAAAATGTTGTTTTAGTGAACAGTAATTATTAATGGATGGTGGATCATTTGCACCAGGTCTGTACTGCCAAATCTGCTTGCAAGTTGCATAGCCAGATTGGTCGGTGCTCCAGTAGGCATGCATGATTCATCTACTCATAGGTAGGACATCAATGGAAAGCCTAAGGCTTGCAAATTATATTATATAAAACATTTTTATTAATTGGTATTTTTCGAATGCGCGCACTACTGTAAAGTTACTAGTATAATACGTATACCGTCGATACTATACATTGTCCGGACGTCTCAACTGTCGCATTTCTATACCACATCGACATAGACGAGTATATGGAAGAAATGACAAAACTATTGTTTCGTTACGTTCTATTTGAATATCAGATGGCATTAAATCAGTCCAATACCTTGGTTTTCTTTGGCTTCTTTTTCTTGCTTTCCTCATCAAAATTGAAACTCGGTGGCTGAGCAGGTGATTTGAAACCAAAGGCAAAAACAAGAAATGCACATAGCAGAACACCAAACACGGGCACTGCCACATGCGGGGAAACAACTTCAGTCAGCTCCATTGTTAATAACTTTTTAATTAGTCTGTTGTGTGATATATTCGTTAAAATATGGTATCTTAACTCAGCATTTACATCCCTTCATTATACGACGTATGGAGCTCATGCTGACGTCGCGTGCTTTCTACGTCATCAAATAATGTGTATTGATATTTTAGAATATTGAAAATGTATAAAAAATAATAACGAAACCTTCATTTCACAAATCACGATGATATAATTCAAGAAACAATAGTATTCTCATTTAAATAGATTTTTCTTAAAATAGCCTAACAAACAATTGACGTTTTACACAAGACAATATGGCGACGCGGAGTTTGACTCAGTAACTGAGTCAGTTGTATTTACCCAGCAGTTTTTGTGCAAGACAGAATATGTGAAAGTTGCAAAATTGTGTTTCACAACCGTGGTCTGGGTGAGTAATGATTGAAAATGATTTGTAATACTGATGTATGATATTGGTTTCCATTTTGTGGAAACCCTCGACAGGAAGTGATTCAGCAACATGCATGTAAACACAACCTGACGAAATGATTCTATATTTAACATCATATCGCATGTTTTGAGTGTTGTCTGATTCATTTAGCAACGATGGCTATGTGATATCAAACAGATCGATAAGTGATTCCAGTTATTTGTAAACAGCTTAGCTGTGATCTAGCTTCAGTTACTGTATTTTTAATATTTCCCGTAACAAGACAGATGGAGTGGAATGTTATAAAAAGGTCAGTTGTAAGTTGAACTGTGCTGTTAATTGTCTGCTGGATAACCGAACTACTCGGTAGTGAAACGAACGTAAAACCATTCAATCAATCAATCAATCTGTAACGTCCCTAACGATATATAGGCCTATATCAGGTCGGGGAAAACCACTAACTTGCGTATAATCTGCAAACTCGCTTATTATACGCCAATATGGGTATGGATTTGTTACTAAAAATAGCCAAAATCACTTTAATCTTAACTTTTTCAAATTGTTTGTCCAAGTCACATTTATTCAGTCATGAAACATAATACAAATGCAAAAATAAACTTGATTTGCATGTGGGAAAGTACCAAAAATAGATGCAATACTTCCGGTAAAGTTACATCAAGTTTCTAAGTAGCCAACGCTTTCAGTAAACATCTTTTAGCAAAATATTATTTACCTTGTCGTCAATTAATGCATTTTTTTTTAATTATTAGCAAAAGTTACTGTTTAATCGATTGGGGTTATTTTTAGTAACAAATCAATACTCCAACTGGCGTATAATAGGCGAGGTCGCATATTATACGCAAGTTGGTGGTTTTCCCCAACCAGTATAGATATCAACTACAGTAGCGTCGTGTCATACAGGTTGGGCACAATGGCGCATATGGGTAATAATCCTGCATTTGGGTAACAGTTACCTATTTGCAGTTTAACAACTAAAACGTTACTCAGGGGGAATAAAGTAAAAAATAAATAAATAAAGTTCTTTTAAACACATGGAGCAAAAAAGGGCGTCATTCGTTCAACATAATCCAATAAAAAATACAATGAGGTACAATTGTGCACAAAAAAATGTTAATGCAGCTGTTTGTAAAAATGACAAATTGATATCACCTCCATTACTTATTCCGTCTTTGCGTATTGCAGAGTTATCTTTTCTTGTGAGCAGGTATTGATTGTTTCGTCATTGGTTTGTGCATCTAACTCTCAGGAGAATTAACATTCTACTTAGAATTTCATATTGAATTTTTTTTCTTTAATAAAACAATAATAAAAAACAAAGAAGATTGTTTCAGTATATGTAGATGTCAGTGTGACTGTGTTGAAGCATATTTGTCCTTAATTCAAGGGTGTATACTTCCTGTTTCCCCATAGGATGGCTTTTTCTGGACGAAAAAATATTAAGGGCAAATAAAGCAAGGGAAGACTATTTTTGTACACCTGTGTATTACCATTAAAGAGCTTAATTTGCTCAGGTGCCAGGGAGCTTCACTCATGATATTAAGTTACAGTTAAAACAAAATATTGCCCGTTAATGTTTTGATTAAATAATATATTTTTTTAAATACAATGTAACAAATGTTGATACCAATCCTTTGTTGTACTCGTGGTTCTACGTAACGGTTGTTTTATCTCAAGGATATTACTGAATTTTTAATCACTTATAATTCACTTATAAAGTATTATTTGTATAATTATTAAATAAAGATGTCATAACTTTAGTAGAAGTAAGTTAAATACATCAAAGTTGGTATTCTTCACAAACAGATACATCTGTATTATCTAAATGTAATTAACCTTTGTTTCCTTATTTACATTTTTGATTTACAGTAACTAATCTTTTATTAGAATGTTTGGGTATATACTAGTTAAATGTATTGCGTAAACTGTGTAATTAATATTTGTACACTAATGAGCATATTATTCAAAGATTATTAAGGAATTGTAATTGAATTACAATGCATTCAAAATTGAAGAAGGCTAAACAGAAAAAAAAGTTTTACTGGAAGAGACCGCTATTAATGTTTTCAATGTAAAGTACTTAAGATGAAAATATAATGATTAAATGTATTTATGAACCATAATGCAATAATGAAATTACTATATAATTCATATAGTATATCACTTTTATATGATTTGCAGTCCTTTTAATTTATTAATTATAATTATCTCATCAGAGATAGTTATTTTGAACTAGCTTACCGGTAATTTATAAGTTGGTTCATCTAACAGTCGTACATTGATAAAATGGGAAAATATATGTGATTAAATTTTTTCCAGATATCAAAGGTCTCTGATCAATCTTTTGAAGAGTTAACAAGTAGGTTGTCATTCAACTGTTATTGGTTAATATGTAATGAGGACGAAAGAGTTATGAAATTCGTTAAATTTTAAATGTAAAATGGAATCAATTTGTTGAATCGGGACTTTTTTCCCTAAAATACTATTAGTTAGTGGACACTGATCCCTACAATTATTGACACCTGTCAATTAAGTTTCACATAATTTACATATACATATTTAACAGTGATATGAGTGCCTTGTATAACAGTTAGATCCCAAACACTACACAGAAGACATCGGGTACATTTTGGAAATTCCGGCATATCCCGCCGTCAAGTCTAAAAGTTTCCTTAACTAAATTTCAAAGTTAAATGATATTAACTCTTACATTAATCATTTCAGCTATACAAAATGTGTGGAACTAGAGGCCATATAGTTGACATGTTTGGAGTTATCAAGCATGTTTGGAAAAAAGTAATCATTTCAACTAATGACTTGATTTTTTTTTTTTTTGCTTTTAGTAAAATGGGAGATGATGAAAGCTTTCAGAGAGAAGAAAACACAACCAAGCTTCCGTCTGCATTTAAAAGGCTACGAGTTGAGTCAGAAAGGTAATATTGTATATATAGAATGTCTTAATGTAAAGAGAACACATTTATGAACAGCATACACTGTATATATATATACATAAAATATTGTAAGTGTTCACATTCATTTACCATTTTTATGTTCTTTTTTGGAATAAATTTATAAATGATAATTGAGTTTATAAACAGAATATTTTATTCCTACTTACAATGTAACTGATCCACCATCGATAAGTAATCATGTAAGTCAACTTGCACATATATCATTTCTCTTAACTAAGTACATTGAGCTGAACATTTCAATAGACACTACCTGATTGCTATTTCAGTCCTAACGTTTCCACTGGCATAGTTACCAGTGAAAGTGTCCTTGTTGTCCAGCAGCTTTGGCTGAGGTAAGTTCATCCAGATAAAATCTGGTGAGAAAATAAAACCAACTGAAAGAAAGGATTTATTGTAACTTATATAAATGTATTGTGATCACATTGTTTCACCATGCACAGTAACATGTGTTATCTGTGGAGGGTGCTTATGGTCACAATTCCAACGACCAAGTTTTAATATATCTTGATCTCTGAATCTTAACTGCTGATGTTTAGTTCAGTATTCCAACTGCAAAATTTAAAAATCTTGTTTTCTAAATCTTAACTGCTATTGTTCACTATGTCTAATGGTACTTAACTTTCTAAATTCTGTATCCAAAATTGGTAAATTTCATGCATCAGGCATTTAAGTTCTCAAATAATGCACTGCTCATTTATGCAAAAGGCATTTAGAATCATAAAGTATTTGCAACCAGCAACTTCAAAACAAGAATTTCAAACTATGCCATTTGGTGAAAGGAAATTGCACTGAACAATATTTGATTATGTATTTTGATATTAGGTGACACCGACCCATGTCTGTGGAAGCCAGTACAGGTCACCGAGAAATAAAAGAGTTATCACAAAAAAGATATATAGCTACTGTTTGTCTTATACACTACAATGCACTTACAATCTCAAAACAACATTTTACTATGTCATTATGTCACTATGTCATTAATCATCACTATGTCATTATGTCCACATACTGTGTCATGATAATGACCTACTATTTCATAATAGCTATCATGGAAAAATTCAATAGTCAGAGTTACACCATAGCTACTGTATGTCATTTTTACAAGATAATAAGTTGCTGTTATGACATTACTATGTTATAACTGAATGACCTCGTTGGACTTTTTAAGTTCACAGGGGTCAAATGTGTGAAAAACTTAAAACAAAGTTCTTCTTAATTCATAGATAAAGATATCTTGCCTGTAGCTTAGTTTGATCCTTTTTAAATATATTCGATCTTGGTCCACTTTTAAGATTACAGATGTAAGATCAATATCAGGTGAGCAATGCAGGCTCATTGGACCTCTTGTATATTATAATTCATCAAGACCTGAAAGGTGTATTGGATCAGTATGATCTGGACTACCAGGGTGTCATTATCAATGTAGAATGGATCTTTCTTTCTAAGCTGGTTGTAACTTCTAAAGTACTTCCCATAGTAGGCCTGAATACCGAAAATCACAGAGTGAACTTTGGCCAGTAGCATGCTGGGATTACAGGATACCAAGTTTATTCAATTGAATGACCTTGTTAGTCACAGATATCAAATGTGTTCAAATCTTTTTAACAGGTTTTTGAGTGACCAGGAGTGATAGGTAATGATATTTAGCCTGTGACTTTATTTAGTCCATTTAAAGATATATAATTTACAATTGTCCCAAGTGTGAGAAGTTTGAAATTAATAGCAGACAAGCATTGCAGGCCCATTTGACCCCTTTTTAGCTCACCTGGTCCAAAGGACCATGGTGAGCTTATGCCATACCGCAGCGTCCGTCGTCCGTCCAGCAACTTTTCCTTTAAAAACGCTACTAGTCCTGAATAGCCAAGTAGATTTTGACTAAATTTGGTCTGGAGTATCCTTAGGCCAAGGGGACTCAATTTTGTATAAGTGGGGGGTGTGGCCCCACTGGGGGCAGATGGGCGGGGCCGAATAGGGGAAATAGGTAAAACCTTCAAAATCCTTCTCCTACCATAGGGATGAAGGGATTTTATCCTAATTTAGTCTGGAGCATCCTTGGGCCAAGGGGACTCAATTTTGTATAAGTGGTGGGTGTGGCCCCCTTGGGGGCAGAGGGCCGGAACCGAATAGGGGAAATAGAGGTAAAACCTTCAAAATCTTTCTCCTACCCCTCCTTTATTATTCTTAAAAATCCTTCTACTTCTGTAGGAATGACAGTTTTTGGTCCATATTTGGTGATGAGCATCCTTGGATTAAGGGAAAACAATTTTGTATAAAAGGTGGGTCTGGCCCCTTTGGGGGCTGAGGGGTGGGGCCCAATATGGGAAATATAGCAAATTCTTAAAAACTCTTCTTCTTCTGTAGGAATGACAGGATTTATTCCATATTTGGTGTGAAGCATCCTTGGGTTAAGGGAAAACAATTTTGTATAAACGGTGGGTCTGCCCCCCCCCCCCCCCCCCCCGGGACCTGAGGGGCTGGGCCCTATAGGGGAAATAGAGGTAAAACCTTTGAAATCCTTCTTCTACCATAGGGATTAAGGGATTTTGTCCTAATTTAGTCTGGAGTATCGTTGGGCCAAGGGGACTCAATTTTTTATAAGCAGTGGGTGTGGTCTCCCAGGGGGCAAAGGCGGGGTCCAATAGGAGAAATAGAGGTAAAACCTTTAAATGCCTTCTTCGACCATTGTGATTAAGGGATTTTATCCTTATTTAGTCTGGAGCATCCTTTGGCCAAGGGGACTCAATTTTGTATAAACGGTGGGTATGACCCCCCTAGGGGCATAGGGGTGGTGGTCTGTTTGAAATTTGTTATATCTCAAGTACTGGATGGATCTTTCTGAAATTTCATATGTACTTACAGCACCTACCATGGAGTGCTATATCTTAACTTCATACCTATTATTTTTGACATAGTCAGGTGAGCGATACAGGCCCTCTAGGCCTCTTGTTTACTCCATTATTTCTACTTAATGTTTCAAACAATAAAAAAGGAATACAGGTATATTACAGCATGTGACAGTTGTGGCCTATGGGTCTCTATATACATGTAGGTTGTATAACTGTCATACTTTAAACTTGCTTATCTAAAATTGGCTAAACAACTTTTGTGTACGTTGTCAAGAAATAGAATCTGTACAATAAACAAGAAACAAAATAAAGAAGATTTTTAAGGAAATTTGATATTCATAAGTAAATACTATCACTTGTTGAAATATAATGAATAGTTTACCACTTTGTAATTTACAGGGACAACGGAGGGCAACAGAAAGGATTGAACAAGAGCAGTGATAAAAACCATCAGAAGTACAACAAAAGAATTGGCAGAATGGAGCCATACCCTCAGGAAGTCATCTTTTCCATGCAGAAAATGACCTTGAAAAAGGAAGAATGCAATACGAAACATTGTAACTGTTCTACAAATCACAGTGATACAGAAAACCGAAACAAGTACAACTATGCCAACATCTCGGGATCTCCACGACGTTTAATTCGGGAGGCCAGGCTCAAACTACATCACTCGGAGAAAGACAGAAAGCATATAATCAGGTCAGCTAGACTCAAACTCATCAAGAAGGAAAGAAAGAGTGATCCTACTGGCTTAAATGTAATGAAGCTTCCTAAATCTGGCAACAATTCTTCAGATATCTCTGTATTTGGATCAGGTACAAAAGCGGCTCTAACTGATTTTTCTAGCATGTGCATCTCCTCCAAGAAATCGACAGAAGGAAATCATTCTATTGCATCATTTGATGTGGATCATCCGCAAGGTGTATATGGTGGTAGGAAACATTCTCGTGATGATGAGTCCAAGAGTAACTCTCCCGATTCTTCCTGTAGTCCGAAAGCTAAGACAGCACGCCATTCAAAGACACGATCTGCCCCTGGTACATCGGTCGAATCCTGTAAGACCAGTCAAGATCAGGTCTTTGAACGATCCTGTTCACAGGAAGCAAGACTTGATGACATGACTGTGAATGAATTAGCAGGCTATTTTGAGGATTTTGTTTACATCCCTAAAAAGATGTCAAGCATGGCTGAAATGATGTATACGTGAATATTTCACCATTTTGTGTTCACTGCTATTTGGTTGAAGTCACATAGCTCATCTACTTGGTCAAACATAATGTTACAACTGTTCACTTTTAATTTGTAAATACTGGTATCAAACAAGTTTGGTTTTATTAATTTTCAGATATTTTGTTTCTGTAAAATTAATGCTCGCATTATGTACATTTATAATTATTTTCTCTAGTTTGTAGTCTTCACATCAATAAACTCATCATTAAAGTTATTTCAAAAGTGAAAATACAGTTAAATATTTCTTTTGAAGTTTTCAAATCTTTGTATTAATTACTGAAAATGTTAAGTATTACTTTGCACACATACAATATGATTTTAGGAGAAAGTTGTAGTGTTCTCATTAAATAAGTTTTGTAAAGCAACACTTGCGGTATACCAGTGACATCTCAGTTTTTATCAAAGCTTATTAGTGAACTAGGACTGTCTGTACTGTTAATAATCAGTTCATGCAATATGGTATTTTGCAGCCAACATGTTTGATGATATCTGTATGTTTTTAGAAATGTATCACATGTACATTTATCCAAATGGAGAAAAGGCGGGTCATACAAAGGTTAAAACTCAGTAATTTTCCACTTGATGACATTTATGGCATTATTATTGGTAACTTTAATTTTGATGTACAAAATAAAGTATTCATTTTGTTGTTTAAAAGTGTGTGATGACTGTCATTATTATAATTTGGAATAACAATATACAATTAATGTGCAAAAGACAATAGGTCACATGAGTCACAAGCTCACAGTGACCTGTTTCGATCAGGGTTGCCGACAGTGTGGGAGATATTTCTCCATTGGGTTTAATTTTTCAACGTGATCCTATCTAGCCTGTTCAAGTCTGTAACAGGCCGAGATGACTATTGGGTTATCAAGTTTGTTCAAATGAAAGACCTTGATCGACTTTTAAGGTCACAGGAGTCAAACCTTTACATCTTCTCAATAACCTAAAGGGCCAGCATGATCACATCTCATCAGAAGTATGCTGGGATGAAGGGCTACCAATGCAAGTTTGTTAAAATGAAAGTCCCTGACCCACTTTCAAGATCACAGGGATGGAATGTGTTCATCTTTGAAACAATTCCTTCTAAAGAAACAAAAGGCCAGTGGTAATATTTGGCCTATAGCTTTAGTGCCATCTTCAATTTGGAAAGTTATTTTTTTAGCTCTATTTCTCAGAAGGTGCTTTAGGGCTCTTTCTCAAATTTCACATGTAGGTTCCCCAAGGTCTGTAGCTTACATAATCAAGTACCCAAAACAATGTTTTCACTTGAAAAAAATCAATGTGATAATTCTACGTACTTAATTGCACCTACCGCATTCATTCAAATACTTGTACCCTCTAATTACATTAACTACATAAACTTTGATATTCATAATTCAACATCTTAAAACACTATTTTTCATGTTTATTCATTCATTGACAGTCTTTGTTCTTCATGTTGCCTTGTCATTGTTCCATGTAACAAAACAAGGAGAGGCCCAATGGACCTGCATCGCTCACCTGGTATACATCTCAAACTTGTAACCCTAAAAGTGATCTTAAATAAAGCTAAAGGCAAAATATCAGTACTTATGATTAAACGTCATTCAAAAGAACCTTTTAGAAGATTTTAAAACATTTCACCCCTTTGACCTTGAAAGTCGAACAAGGTCATTATGTTGAACAAATTGTATAGCCCTTCATCTCAGGATGCAACTTACAAAATATCACCACCCTATCCTTTTGTTTATTGAAATTAGGTCATTTAAATGTTTAAACATATTAGACTAAATGTGACCTCGAAAGTGGATCAATGTCATTCAAATGAACAAGCTTGATATCCCGTCATCCAAGCATGCTACTGACCAGATATCAACATTCTAGGCCTTATGGTTATTCAGAAGATGTTGTTTAAAGACTTTAACATATTCGACCCCTGTGACTTTGAATATCATTCAAAGACTATGTATCCCTTCACCCCAACATGATACTGGTCAAATATCATCACCCTGGGCAGTTTGGTTATTCAGAAGTTGTATAAAGGTTTGAACATATTTGACCCCGGCCCTGTGACCTTGAATATGAGTGATGGTAATTTATTTGAACAAACTTGGTAGCCTTCATCTCCTAATGCTACTGACCAAATATCACTATACTGGTTCTTTTGGTTGTACAGAAAAAGTTGTATAAAGATTTTTTAAGACAATTGACCCCTGTGACCTTGAATATAATTCAAGGTCATTCATTTGAACAAATTTGGTAGCCCTTCATACCAGTTTGCTTCTGGCCAAATATCATAACCCTAGGCCTTTTAGTTACTAAGAAGAAGTTGTTTAAAATAAAATATTGACGATGGACGACAGACGGATGCCGCGCCACCGCATAAAAATGTGTTCATGTTTTGGGTTGCCAGTTGTCTCACATTAACTACTGAACATAATGCATTGTACACTTAGGCAACAACATTGAACTTTACGTCTGCTTTGTCCAAGAGTATGAATATAACACTTGCCATGAAACACATCAAAGTAATGTCAACAAGGATCCGGGTAATAAAATTCACAATTGATAAAGCATCTTAGGACCTTCCTATCAATGAAGATGATTGGATTCTAGCAAATCTGGTTCTGGTTAAGAAGATCTGGTTAAGAAGATTGTTAAAATGTTTGCAAATCTGACCCCATTTAGCCACACCTCTCAGGCCCTGGGGGTGAATTAGGGTCTTTACTTTCATACCATCAAATAACAAATACACCATTATAATTCCAGTTAGATTTAAATTATACCCCACCGAAAATAAACAAAATATACCCAAGTGATATTTCTCTATATAGACTATAGTTAACTTCACGGGTGGTTTGGTGGGGCAGTGGATAGCACATACACTTGCCTTTCACCGAGACGTCTGGGGTTCAATTCCCCGATCAGATGTGAAAAGGTATGGGTTCACCTGCCTGACAACATGAGTTTTTCTCTGCATACTCTGGTTTCCTCCCACACTAAGACCCGCACTAACAACCGGGCCAACAAGAGTGATTAATATAAGTTGAAATAATTTGTTTCATAATTGTTGTAAAAAAGAATAAGTTTATATTATGTATAGTTAAATTTGATTCTGGAGAAGATTGTTGGAAGTTTCGTGAAATTGTCCCCTTTTAGATACGCCCATGAGGCCCTTGGAGTGAGTCAGGATCTAAGATTTCACATAATCAAACTTCAATCACGTGATGATAATTTCAACCAAGTTTGAATTACTTTCCACAGGAAGTAAGTGAAATATACCCAAAAGTGTTAATTGTCAATATAAACTAAAGTAAACTTTACCCCCTCCCCAGGGGGAAATGGGTGATCTGGGGGTATCAAAATTCATAATTTTGATAAAGCACCTTAGGACCAGCATATCTGGGTCTGGAGGTAAATCCATATAATTGTATGTAAGAGTTATCTTTCTTGAAAAACTTCACAGTAGTGAAATAGGTAAGCCTGTTTCCTGAAGTACAGAAAATGGACACATCGACTCATTGATAAAATTAAAACTGAATTAAGGCCTGGATTGCTTTGAAATACTTTATTATTGAGAGAACACACTGTTCTGTCAATAATAAACATACAATATTCATCACAACTCTTAGACTCATTAGAATATATGCGGAAATTGTGATACTGTCTATCTACATTGGATTTTCAACTAAGGATGTACTTCCTATTTCTGTTTATCAATACACTCATTCGACCTTAAGGTCATAGTGTATTGCTAAACAGAAATAGGAAGTACATCCCTAGTTGAAAATCCAATGTAACAATTTCCGCATATTCTAATGTTTAATATTAAACTGATGAATATTGTACCGTTTATGATTGACAGAACAGTGTGTTCTCTCAATATTAAAGTATTTCAAAGCAATCCAGGCATTAATTTAAGTTGTTTTTTAATCAATGAGTCAAATGTGTCCATTATTCTGTACTTCAGGAAACTGGCTACCTATTTCACTACTGTGGTGTTTATAGATAATTTATTTTACACAATTTCAGCATTTATGAAATTGGTAAACATTAATGCAATACTAATCTATGTCAGTATCATTTTTATTGACATTATTTTGCAAAAAATTGTTTCTTTTTTTTTCAAAATTCACTCCTTTTTACATAAATTTCCATTTAAAATCCTTAAATTCAACCTATAATTTTTTTTGTGGCAGAAATTTTCTTTACTTCAAAGCAATGTAACTTCAAAACTTCAGAAATTCTACTGAGAAATGGGGACACAATCCTATTACCTTAAGTATTGCCCTCATTCCATCTCTGAACTGCATGAACTTTTGTGTTAATTACTTCTCAAGGGAACTGGATTGTTTTAGCTCACCTGCCCGAAGATTGAAGGAAGTCTGGAGTGAGTCTGTTCTTGTTTTGGATACTGAAAGTGAATACCCCAAGTTCATTTCACATTTTGTCGGAGAGTGGACATAAAATATTTTACCTATATATTCCCTCTGTTGGGGCAACACCTTTTCAGGCAAGTGAGCTAAAATTCAATCTTAATATTTTCTGTCCCTTGATATGTATCAAACCTTAGTGATATTCACACATGTACAAACAAGATTTGAAGAGAACTTCACCGAGAGCATAATCTTATCGTCCATGTAAACATGCAGCTGGCAGTTTCTTGATGAAAATATCAGGTTGTAAATGAAGACCGACATACAATCAACTGTCGGACATTTGTGTTGGCTGCAGGTTTTGATTTAAGTTTTTAACCTTAATTCATGAAACTTCATACACATAGTAGGTTCAAGGTGAAGGCTACAACTACAGAATCTTTTCATTACTAATCTGACAATTCTCTGGAGATTAGCTGGAGGTCAATGTCATCAAGTTCAAGGTGAAGGCTACAACTACAGAATCTTATATACTAATCTGACATCATTCTCTGGAGGTCAATGTCATCAAGTACAAGTTGAAGGCTACAACTACAGAATCTTTACATTACTAATCTGACATCATTCTCTGGAGGTCAATGTCATCAAGTTCTACAACTACAGAATCTTATATACTAATCTGACATCATTCTCTGGATATCAGCTGGAGGTCAATGTCATCAAGTTCAAGGTGAAGGCTACAACTACAGAATCTTATCTAATAATCTGACATCATTCTCTGGAGGTCAATGTCATCAAGTTCAAGGTGAAGGCTACAACTACAGAATCTTATATAATAATCTGCCATCATTCTCTGGAGGTCAATGTCATCAAGCTCAAGGTGAAGGCTACAACTACAGAATCTTATATAATAATCTGACATCATTCTCTGGAGGTCAATGTCATCAAGCTCAAGGTGAAGACTATACAACTACAGAATCTTATATAATAATCTGCCATCATTCTCTGGAGGTCAATGTCATCAAGCTCAAGGTGAAGGCCACAACTACAGAATCTTTACAATATAATAAGAAATTTCACCTTCATAGCTTGTTCACCTGTCCTTGTCTAAAGATTTCAAGTTTCAACCAAATTCCATAGATTTTCCTGAAGAAATTGCCTTAAGCATGAAAAATTAAAACGTAATGCACTGTGATGAACAAACAAGAGGCCCAGAGGGCCTGTATCACTCACCTGTTTCTTTTGTTACATGAAACTGACATATAGGTAACTTTAGACCGAAATTGGTATCTAAAGCAC